CAATTTAGAAATATACCCACATAAACTTAGTACAACGTTAACGGACATTACAGAATGAAGGAAGCACGAGTAAAGCAAAGAAGCCGACGATATGTCCTAGAACAAAGACCGCGCAAGGCACCCGAGCAAACTCGTCCGCGAGGAGCCGGGCAACGACCGTGCCAAAGGCAGCTGGCCAGCAAACTTGTCAGAGGCAGCATCCCCGTTGTCAGTCAAATCCTGCACATAGCCAATCCAGCCTTTATGCTGTGATCGTTGTTCTTTTTCTTCCTGAAATGCAGCTGCTTTTCTGCGTCGCTGACAGGAAACGCAGTGAAACACATCCCGGTCGTTCATTTGTGCGTCGTTGCACTAAATTATTTGGCACCGTTCCAACACAGGCATTTGGAGATTCATAGTCTGTTTCAGCGAATATGCGTTGATGCAGTGAAAGTAACTTCTTGGCGCTAGTCAGTTCAACGGGGATATAGTTAGGTAGCTTCAGTGAGCAGTCGTACACCTCTATGGGGGTTACAAGATCGAGCGAGCCCCGTTTCCACACTCCCTCGTTGTTTTTTAGTTTATACGGCATTCAGTGGGAGGGACTTGGAGTGAGTACATCATTTAATACATCATCTTTTATTTTATGCAGAAAAGGGTTGCAATTGTTCTTTCGAGCTTTTAGCTCTTGACTTTGCTACCTTGTTTCACTAAAATCGTGATACCACTGCGAAATGTTTTGATTATAAACGGTCAGAAAAAGATTTTTACCAAGTAAGGCTAAAAGTGGAGGTGTTCTGGGGTTCATTAGAGCGCGTTCGTACTTCGTTCGAGGTATGGAAAAAATGGATCCTCCTGGACAACTTCTCCATAATCTTGGGCAATAACCTTCTTCTTTCTGCCTCCTAATTATTTCGAACCATAAGCACATTCCAGGACTAAATCCTTGTCCAACACAAGATAAAGGTAAAATGAAGTGGAGACAAAGCTCGTTGTTCTTCTCATAATAGGCTTCAAAAAACTGCTTGTGCAAAATTAAGATCGCCGTAAACCGAGAAATCATTGCTCCATTGTCCGGTATATCCGTGGTGTACTGACACCAGGGCACATCGTTGTTGGGGAATCCCCAATAGGGGGTCGTATTTGGTCGCCAGGAGAGGGGGGGGGTCGTATTTGGGCTGAGAAAAATTTATTTTGATAGTTGATTTTTCTCGCTTCACGGATGTGAGGGGGGGGGTCGTACTTTACTTTCTGGCCTTCTGGGAGAGGTGACTGACTTTTCGTGATTTTCCTGTTTCATGTGTACGTTAAACCCCCACCCAGCTCGATGAGGAGGACAGAGGGCCGGAGGGAGGGGGTCATGCGGACTCGACCAAAATCCCCCACCTATGATGTACCCTGGCTTACACTGTTCTCTTTGCCTTTATATGCTTTTGCTATTTCACACATCACTGGAAAGTGACTGAGAGGAATGCTTCGTATTTCTCTTGACTTCTCAAGGCACGTAAAACTTTTTCCTATCTGTCAGTGTCGTTGTACATGCACCGTATAGAACACTACTAATATGATGAGTTTTTTTTTTACATTACGTACGCTGATAGTAACGTTTTGTAGTCAGGGAACTGAGGAAAAAAAG